AGCACAATGATGCCTCAATCCCCTTCAAAGTAGGCACTTTGGGGCCTCACACAGTTCTCCCAATTGCCATCAGCTGCCCTGTTATATTTTCCTGAATCTCATCGATGGTCTGAAAGCTCTTCCCTTTCAAAGGTGATTTTAGTTTTGCGAAAAGCCAGATGTTGAGGGTGCCAAATAAGTGATGTAGGAGGGCTGAGTCACCTGGGTGATTTGGTGTTTCACCAAAAATCTCTGCATGAGATGTGGTACACAACCAGGTGCATTGCTGTGATGAAGCTGTCAATCACCAGTTGCCCAGAGCTGTGGCCTTCTGAATTATCTCAATAGTTTTCACAGAAGAATGTTCCTGCTTAACGCAAAATTTGATGCAGATCTGTCATTCTACTTGCTCAGTCATTTTCAATGTGACGGCCAAACAGTACACCTACTCAACTCAACGGCGTCTACCAGCTCCCATTGACTAGTAAAGGGAAGTCAGCATTGTTCACGCATGCGCATTCCAGTCCACTCTCCTTGGCTGCCAAGTTACATTGATGATGTACAAACTGTTCTCATTATGTTAATAATGGCTGGACTTTTTCCGGGAAGACCTCTTCGTATATGCATCACCCATGGACAGCAATGGTGTGGGGATTAATTGTGGGGAAGGGGAGCTGGGGGAAGGGGAGCAGAGGGGTAGTAAGTGGGACAACTCTAATAGTATAAATTTAAAAATTTAAAAAGTCACATTTTGGAAATAAATTACTACACTTCTAAATCTAAAAGGAAATAAAAGTATAAATTAGAAAATATTTTTAGCTGAATGACAGTGAAAATACTACAGATCAAAACTGTTAGGGAGCATTGAAAGTTGTGCTTATTAAGGGGAATTTTATTATTCCGATTGAGCAATATAAAAGGAGAAAGGCTGAAAGCAATAAATTAAGAGTCTATTATTTCAAGTAGACAGAGAAATAACAGCAAGTTAAACTCAAAGAAAATGGAAGGAAGAAATTAATAAAATTAAAAACAATTAAAATTTAAAAAAATTAAAATTAAAAACTAATAAAATAAAATCAAACATATTACCTTCACCTGCTTCCTTGCTGAAGCTGTACAAGGAAAAAGAAAAAATAACCAATGATAAGTATAAAAAAGAGGGCTTTTACTGTGGGTCCGGTAGACCTATAAAATTATAAAAAGATATATTAAATAACTACACTTTAAAATATAAATGAATTAGATAAATTCCTCAAAATTACTATCAGTAAAAATTAACAGAATAGAAAATTTTAATAATCCTACTCTTTAACAATTAAATTTATAATTTACAACTCCATAGTAAAGAATACTCCAGGCTCAGATGGCTTCTAACAAACATTATAAGAAGAACTGATGGTAATGCTATGCAAATCCTTTCCAAGCACAGAAACGATGGCTACCATTAGCCTACTCATGATGAAGGGCCAGAATGACCCTGATATAAAGTAACAGGAAATTCCAAGAAAGGAAAATTTCAGATTGGTCTGATTTATGACTATAGGTGCAAATATGTAATATATAAGATTAGTAAGCTTACCCACTAACATCAAAATAAGAATATGGTGGTTATCTTGGTCTGAACTGGAAAGCCAGAGCCATAATTGTCCTGGTGTTTTTTTCCCCTGAACTTCAGGAGAAATGCACTTTTTTCCCCTGGTTTTTGGTAAATTGGTTAAAACAACAACAACAAACAACAAGCTCGCCATATGCAGTAATATATTAAAAGCCAATATATGTATGTATTCCAGAATGCAAAAGTTGGGTTCAAATTTGAAAATCCATGCAATTCACCACATTAACAGAATAAGAAAAAATTGTTGGATTATTTCAGTTGATTTTAATAGATAATGTAGATCAAATTCATGGTTAAAAAACAACTCTTAACAAACTAGGACTACAAAGGGATTTTCTTAAGCTGAAAAAGGATAACACCTCCCATAAGAACCTTCAGCAAATATCAGATTTAGTGGTAAAATATTGAAAGTTTTCCCCCTGGGACTGGGACCAACAGAAGTTCATTAGTTTCCTAGGGCTGCCATAACAAAATACCATTAACTGGGTTGCTTAAAACAACAGAAATGTATTGCCTCACAGTTCTGGAGGCTAGGAGGACCGTGTTCTCTCTAAAGGCTTTAGGCGAGGACCCTTCCACGCCTCTTCCCAGCTTCTGGTGGTTGCCCGCAATCTTGGACATCCTTGGTTTAAGGACCCATCACTCCAATCTCTGGCTCCATCTTCCTATGTTGTTTTCTCTGTGTCTATCCTCTTTTTATAAGGATACTAGTCATATTGGAATAGTGCACACCCTACTCTAATATGACCTCATCTCAACTTGATTATAACTGTAAAGATCCTATTTCCAAATAGGGCTAAATTCACATATACTGAGGTTTGGGACTTCAACATTGCTTTTTCAGGGGCAAAATTTAACCCACAAAACAAGGACTCTCACTATTATGACTTCCTTTTGTATTAAAGTTCCTAACCAATGTAATAAGGCAAGAAGAAGAAATAAAAAATATAAAGATTAGAAAGAAATAAAACTCATTATTCATGTATGACATAGTTGTCCATGCACAAAATCCTAAATAATTAACAGATAAATTAGAATACATTTTAAACAAAGTTTATCTATTCAAGATTAATATACAGAATTAATTTTACCACAATATATTAGCAATAAACAGTAAAATAAATGTTTTAAAAGGTAAAATTTATAAAAATAGAAAATCCCCCAAATATCTTTAAATCAATCTAACAAAATATGTGTAAGACTTCTAAGCAGACAACTATAAAATTTTGAGAAAAACTAAAGAAGACATAAATAAATGGAGAGATATGCCATGCTCATGAACTGGAAGACACACTATCACAAATACACTGTCTTTCCAAAATAACCTATAGATACAATGCAATCTCAATCAAAATCCCAGTTTATGGAAACTCAGAAACTGATTCCCAAGTTTATACAGAAGGTCAAGAACAGCCAAGAATCTGTTAAACAAAGTGAGAGGACCTGTATCACTAAATACGAAGACTTATTATAAAGCTATTTCCATTAAGACAATGAGGTGTTGGCACAAAGATAGACAAATAAGTCAGTGTTGCAGAATAAAGGGCCCACAGACCCCCCCCTCCCCCATGTACGGACACTTGTTCTACAAAAGAAGCAGCATTACAGAGCAGTGAGGAAAGAAGATTTTGCTGGGACAATTAAGATATTCATATGGAAAAAAAATTGATGTACCAAAAGAGTTACATGCAAACAGACAAAAAAAAAAAAAAAAAAAACTCCACATGAATTTCACAAACATACATTTGAGCAAAAAAATACGGCATACTATAAGATTCTATTAATATAAACTTAAAACTAAACGTTAGTGTGTCGTGATTGTGGTTAATTTGGGGAGAGGTGTTAGTAATTGGGAGGGGGTGCAAAAGGAGTTTCTAAAGAGCAGACAAGTATTTCATGAACAGGGGTTCTAAGTTGTGTTTGTGATAATGCACTAACATGTACAGTTACATTTTGTGCACTTTCATTATTTTTATCAATCTTCCCAATTAAAAAAATTAGACACATTCATTCAACAAAATTTATGTAGAAAATACTATATATTAGGCATTTTACTAGATCTGGGTCATCAAAAGGAAAAAATGCAGGCGTGCTTCCTGCTCTGGTGGCACTTGCACTCTGATGAGACAGACAAAAGCAATTACAATAATGAAAACAGGTAAACACCTACAACCATTCAGGGAGATAAATGTTCTGATACCCTTAGCTTGCTACAAAAAGGGGACTATTTCTTTATTGGGGTTGGGGTGATGAGGACAGACATTAGATCCTTCACTGGACTAAATTATCAAAATAATTTAGAAGTGCCCTATCCACCCCTCAAAAGTTGAGGTTACTTCTTTCGTATACAACAGTTTCAGTGTAATTTTAGATCTGTACTTAGTTACATATAGGAATCCTGTCTGCTTACCTGAGGAAATCTTGGAGTCATGACACCAGGTCCTAAGAACAAGAGAATACTGTTATTAATTTGCAGTTAATTTTGGAGCTATTATTCTAAAATAAAAGAGTTCTTTTGAAGTACTAATTCAAAAAGCATTGTTTTTAAAAAAGCATTTTATTTAAAAAATAACATTTTATTGATTATAAAGTGCTTACATGTCAATGTAGACTATCTGGGAAATCAGAAAATTACAAAGAAAACAAAAATCCATAACTCTATCACCATAGCTACTGTAAATGTTTTGGTGCATTTCTTTCCATTAAAAAAATTCATTTATTTTTCACAGTTTGAGATTAGAATTTCTAATGAGATTTTGCAAACCGAGTTTTCCACTTAAAAGTATAATGGATGTTTCCCCATGTCATTACATAATCTACCTAAACAATATTTAAATTTGTAAAAGTTACACCCCCAAAGAGAATCATCTCAACGAGAGGTTATTCATCACGTATAATTGCGTCAATCCGTGTAAAGGTCCCAGAGTTCTGAGATCCGTCCGAAACTTAGCCCAAGGGTCTGAAGCAACATTGAAGCCTAGCAGCTGCTGCGGCGGATACTCCGAAGGCTGCTGCGGTCATTCAGGGACGCGGCTGCAGAGTCGTGCCTAGCCCCCGACCCCCAACCTCCCGCAAGCGGTGTGCAAATTGTTTGTCATAACCCGGAGCCACGACAGTCCTCGACTTTCCGACTTTCCACCGGGAGCGAAGCCCTTAGCTCCTGGGCTTGGCCAAGCGTGCCTCTCCGGGGCGCCGTGCCCCAACAGCCTGGGCTCGCTCCCGGCCTAGCGGCTCCCGCCGCAGTCGCGGACAGGGCTGTATCCTTCGCAGCGAGTTTCTGCGAGTCTCTAACTCTTCTCTGGGCCAAATTTGGGAGGAGCGCGCCCCGGGTTCCGGCCCTGCCGGGACCGCCTCATCCCAATCCCACCCCCACCTCCCCAACCCGGAGCGCGCAGGCGCAGCTGGCTGGGAGTCCCGCCACCGGTCCGGGAACCCGCAGAAGCACCGGAGCCGCTGCCGCCACTATCGGCACTGCCGCCGTCCACCATGGGTTCAGGTTCCCATCTGCTGCTACCTCTGGTGCTTTGCCTGGGGCTTGGCGTACTGGCGCTTTCTGCGGGGTCCCCGGGCTTCCGCAAGCGAGGTCCCTCAGTGACGGCCAAGGTGACAGCGCGGCAGACTCCAACTTCCCCTCCCGCCGCCGACCCGAGGGATGGGGGGAGCTTTGGGGACCGGGACCTTTGTGTCGGGTAGCCAGGAGGGGGCAGAGGATGGGAGGCAGCCGCGGGCCGGTGAGAGGGGATTGACTGCGCCACCACGGTGGGGGTGGGGGCGAGGCGCGGGGGGGCGCTCTACGGGATGACTTGAGGGGAGCCCCGGCCACAGTCCCAGCCGTCGCCGCAGGCTGTTTGAACTTTATCCCCTTGGCCTTCCGGAACCGGTGGCTCGTTTCTCCAGGAAGGAGACAGCCCCAGCACTTCCTTCAGCGTGGCGTGGACTCGAGAACAGGAGCAGGAGGAGTGTGGGAGGGACAGGGGTGCGAGGAGGAGACACGCTGTGAGCCCAGGGGTTGCAGCTGGGATGTCACCCAGCGTGGAAGAGCCCAGGTCCAGCTCCTGCCAAGGTGGGGTTCCGGCAGGAGTTACAGGTCAGGCTCCAGGAGAGGCTGCCGCCACCCTCCTCCCGTTTAGGAACCTGGTCCTCCCCTGCGAGTTCGCTTTCAGACTGAAGCGACTGGTGGGCTGACCCCGGGCGCGGGAAGGTGCTGGCTGCAGGCACAGGCGGCAACCTGTGTAACCGAGGCCAGCCTTTCTGTCTCTGTAAGAGGGATGTAAAATCTGCCATGGGCTGTCCTTAGGCTTCAGTTCTTTTTCCAGCATATTTACCCAAGGTTAGAGATAATGGCGGGGTGCAGGGAGAGACAGAGGGAGGGAATGATCTGGTTGTTCGTTAATTACCACTGCGAGAAAAGCTTACTGGCAGGAGTGTCTTGGAATCTGGAAGGAGCAGCAGCTGCAAAGGGTCTTAACAACCAGTCCGGTGTTTCACAGTGGACACGGTACTGTGGAACTAGCCGAGTGCTAAAATCTACCTCAGATCCCACCTGAGAAGGGGGCAGGTCCAAGGGTTTGGGAGGGGGAGGTTCAGCCCAACATCGAATACTGCAGGGGTGAACCAAAAGGCCGTGGCAGGTGGCTTGTGTGAGGTACACTTAGGCGACTGTTTTGAGCACTGACTCTCCTGCCAGCCCGTTGACCTTTTGGGCTCATCTAGTTTGGGGAAATGGCTTGTGCAGGCCACTGAACTGAAGGAGGGGGAGGGGGCTTCCTTCAGTTGGCAAATACATTTGAGTCTCTTAGGATACAGCCATCAACATAATGTTCATGAAATTATGAAGCGATGAAGGAAATAAACCTTAATATAGAGTGTGTGACATTTAAAAATACCTGAAGGATAAGAAAAACCAGGCTGACAGAAATTTAGGGAAACCTAGTGCATGTGCAGAGGCCTCCAGACAGGAAAGCCACCCTCCCTGTTAAGAAGATGCCCTGCCTGGGACAGTGTAGCCTTGCCACAGGGATGAAGAGGGAGGTGGCTTGAGGTGAGGTCAGGGGCTGAGCAGCAGCAAGATCATGCAGGGCCTCAGAGGTCACAGCTAGGAGTGTGGGTTTTGAGGCTATTACTCTTAGAATTTGCGGTCTTATGCTAAGTGCAATTAGAGCTGCTGAAGGGTTTTAAGCAGGGATTTGACAGGATCTCATATATGCTTTTACACAATTACTGCGGTTGCTCAGTGGAGAGTGAACTGGGAGGTCATTCTGGGCTCTATGCCAGAGTCCAGATGGCGGTGGCTTGGATTCGAGTGGTAATTGTGAAAATGGGGAGCAAGGGAGGGACTTGGAATGGATTTTGGAGGCCTAACAAGACTTGCTGACAGTGTAGAAAGGGAGTGGGGGATTACCAGATCAAGTACAGGAGGCCCAGTTAGATGTGAATTTCAGGTACACAATGGAGAATTCCTTAGTGTGAGGATGTCACCTGCTATATTTGGGGACACGCTTCACCTGGGAAGTTTTAAACCCCAGACCAAGTCAATAACCATCCCTGGGGGTGTGTAGCCTGGGTTGGAAACCTCTAGAAGAGGGAGCCAGGAGAGGAAGAAGCATGTGGCTGCAGCCGGGGAAGAGCGGGAACACCTTGGGCCCTGAGGACGTTTCCAGGTGTTCTACTCTAGGATTATGTGGGCACGCCTTCTACGGATTCGACTCTGTTGCATTATTTACTTTTTTCAGTGAACTTTTTTAAACATCAAAATCTATTGGAAAATGGAGACATTACAAGTTATTTCTGAGTGTGGAAAAGCAGATTAATTGGCAGTGCTCTAGTGTTTTCTTTTCCCTAGCAGTTTTTTCCTTTTCACCTGATTTCTAAAAATAGAAGTGTATAAATGAGGTATGAGTTGCTGTCCCCCTGCAGAGCCCTTTAAGAGCACTCGCCTTGTCCACAATCCCAGGCCACTGCCTCAGCTTCCTGTCCAGCCAAAGAGGCTCAGGATGGGCTGGGCGTTCAGGCTCTTCGGTTTCAAAATCTACCAAACTGGCACTTGCAGCCTGTGTTTTCCAGCAGGTCCATGGGTTCTGTGTAGTCAGGCACCTACATTGTAGAACATAGTGCTGCCACCTTTCCAGTTGTACTCTCGTTACAGCTGCCGGCACTTTCTACAGCAGGGAGTGGCCATGAGCCTGAGGCTGGGTGATCTTGTCTGATGTCTGAGGCTCTGGTTCCTCCTCTGTAAAAGGGAGATGGAAATGATACTTGCTAGCGAATTGCATATCAGATGTGATAAAGCAGATGAAGTGCTTAGTTCTGATTGATGCTCCCAAGTTTAGAGGTCAGTTGCCAGTGTTACTTGTGTTGTTAATCCCTCTGTGGCAGTGCAGACCTGAAAGGAATCATCTTTTTTACAGATGAAGAGCAAGAGCTCAGAGCCAGTAAGTAGTGGAGCTGTGTTTCCTTGACACCATAGCTTACTTTACTTTAGAAATGGAAGCAGGATTATCCCTATAGGGACTAGGGTCAGGTGGTGTGAGTGCCTCTTCACCCTTCCCCTTCCTCTCCCCACCTCCAGTGCCCCACAATTTCCATATTACTTTGAAGGGCTTCTTCCAGGGGAAAAAAAAGAAGTGACTGAGGTACCCGCTCCTGAAGTACAACATGGGATCCAAGTACCAACTTTTCCAGGATGCCTGCCTTGATCCCACAGATAATCACCACCTCTAACCTTATTTTATCTGTACTTGGGGTCTCGAAAAATCTGATTTCCCATTATATTACAGCTACTGGAATATGTGTTTTCTCTCCTGTGGGACCGTAAGCTTCATGAGGGTAGGGGCTTTACACCCCCCGCCCACCCCCTGTTAAGCACAGGGCCTGTTCCCAAGGGCACAGAGCAAAATCAGAGATGAACTCAGGGCAAGAAGGTATAAAGTAAGAGTTTGCCTGGTAGGCACACTGGCTGACCCGCACTCTGGCTGGATGTGTGTGTGCCCTGCTTCTCATTTAGTATCACCTGGCATTGAGCTGTTCAGCGTTTTTTTTGAGTCTGTACTTGAGTTGATGGTGTGCAGGGCACTGGGGATCTAAAAACACCTTTTCTACCCCTTGGGTTTTCCTGCCTAGGTTGAGATAGCTTTATTAACGATAAATCGCAGTCTAATTGGATGCATCCTGAGATTGAAATTTCGGCTTTCACACTCCTGGCTGGGAAATCTTGATAAATCACTTAACTTCCCTAATCCTCACTTTCCTCCTTTGCAAACTGGAGAGAAGAGTACCTGCCTCTCCCCACAGGATGTGGTGAAGATTAATTATGTAAGATATGTAAGTAAAGCACGTTGAGACACCCCTGACTAGCTCATGTTTGTTTCCTTCCTCCTTCCCCTCCTCCATTTTCTCCCCTGAGATTTCAGTGCCCCTCTCCGCTACTCCCTCCTTCCAGTCCCTCATTCCTGAACTGGTCTAAGAGCTCTCAGATTCTCCCCCGCCCCCAACTTGAGTAATAGTCCCAAAGTTGCCTTTGGGTCCTGTTCTTTATCTTTTCTCCGTTGCCTCCCCAAACCCTCTTCTACCTTCTGGAACTGCCGAGGACCTTCTCCCGTCTGGTGTGGTCACAAGCGCTACACTACTTCTCCCACACAGACCACATCCCCTGCCTTGGTGCTTTGCTTCCACAAAGAACTCTGCCAGGTGGGGCTCGGGCCCACTCTTGTTGCTGGAGGCTGCTCCCTTCCATCTACACCTTCCCCAGGAGGCCGCCTGCAGCCCTTCCCATCCCCCGAGCCTGGCAATACAGTGTTCTTGGGCACTTGTCACATGCTGCCTTGTACTGGGTTATTCCTTTACTTGTCCCATCTCTTGATTTAAGCTTCCTTGGGACTGGGACCCTCTTGTGTAGCTTGTAACTTCACATTGCCTTTCACATGGATCTTTGGTAAATGCTTGTTGACTAAATAAAATTTTACCATTTCCATTAGAGTTGGGAAAACTCTGCCATTTTTTTCTTGCTATCCATCACTGGTGTAGTTAAAGGATACTGCAGTTTGGGGGTGGGTGCAGGGGGAATTGTATCAATATGTATGCTAGGCTGTGTGGAAGAACATAAAATTTTATTGAGTTATGCTGGGTGACAGGCACTTCTCATTTTCTCATGCTTCCCAGATTTTATTCTCTTTGCTTTCTAAACATTTACGGGTTTCATTTGCTCTTTATTTTAAAAGTCTGGCAGGCTTTTCTAGTGTCTTACATGGTGTGTCTTTAAACTTATGTCCTTGATTCTTTTCCTGGTGCTACTTCATTATTGCCTGTTATAGAGTTTACTTCTTGGCTTGGAAATCCCTTTGGAAAAGTGACTTCTGTTTGACACCAGCTCTGTAGGACCAGGCTCACTGGTATGTTAACGCAGCCATGTCTCATTGCTCTCCTCTATGGCACTGCTTCATTTCAAGGTCTTTCATGCACGTTCTATAGTTCGATTGTATAAATAATAATACAGTTTTTGCTGCTTTGTGCCGTGTAAAACTTGTAAGGCACCACATGGAACACTAAATATCACATCATCCCATGACGGATGTACTGATGTATTGGCAGAAGCTCTTGGCTTGAACTGAAGGTTGACAGTCTTTACATTGTGATTTTTCTAAACTGTAAGACATCTTTTTTCTTTGACAACCCTTCTTATATTTTTAAAGCCATATCTTGAATGTCTTTTTTTTTTTTACCTATTCAAACATTAAATAGGTTCACATAATCTAAACTTGCTAATAGAACACCTTTGACTCCCTGGCCTTTTCAAGTGTTCTGTCTCAGAATCATCTTCACACAATAATTTGTGAGGCAAAATATATATACTTGCATTTCACATGAAAAGTTAAAAAAAAAAAGTCCAAGAAAACTTTTAAAGTTTACCTGCAAAAAAAGTGACTTACACTCACTTCTGGATGTGTTTTTTTCCTTCTTTTCTAAAATGTTGTGACAGAAAAAGAACACATTCTACTTTTGTAACGTGGCAAATGAATTCAGTGTCTAAGTTTACAGGATAAATGGTTTTATCAGGACCTGAATGTCGCCTTTGATGTACTTTGGGTGAGGCGGGGGCCCTGGTGTCTTGCTGTGCTCGGAAGCAGGCCAAGGGTGGGGGCAGGCCTTTTGGAGCACTGCTATGCATTTTGATCGTCTTTTGCTGTTCTCTTGACAATCTGTTGAGAACTCATGGGGAATTTGGCACTCTTGGAGATTACAAAAAATAAATCTAGATGGCTAGCCTACTTATCTCCTCACCAATTTTTTTTCTTCTGCCAAGATTAGAGAGCATTACCTTTCAGAAGCAGTCTCCACGCTAACCTTCATTCACAAACCAGGAGACAGGAAGTCACAGCAGTGCTTGTCTGGGGCGCATGGGCCCATGGAATTCTCGAAGACTTTACTGGCTGACTCGAACAGTATTGACTCAAACTTTAAACCCAGTACCAACCACAGTGTCTGGCCCATAAGTGGTACTCAATAAATGTTTGTTGAAAGAATATTTGTGATTGAAATGTACCCAAAAATGGAATTAGAGTTCTGTTAACTTGTGTCACGCTCCTTCATGACCCCTTTGTAAAACACTGGGGGGGCAGGGCTTTTGTATGTGGATCAATTCTCAGATTTTAATTTTCACTTACCTTGCATGTGCTGCTTTTCCATGTGACCTTCCACTCTGTCTTTCAACCACATGCAGGTTTTCTTTGATGTGAGGATTGGAAACAAAGATGTTGGTAGAATCGTGATTGGCCTCTTTGGGAAAGTTGTGCCCAAGACTGTGGAAAACTTTGTCGCTTTGGCAACAGGAGAGGTATGTCTCAGCTTTATTTCCTTTGTGCTCAAATCGAATCTCCTTCTTTAAGCCAAGATAAAGATGTCTTCTAGGGGGGAAACATGTTAAATTAGTAGGTCAGGCGAATCTGAGACATCATATTTTACTTCATTTTTGAATAAAATCTGTATTCTTTGGGCATTCAGTTTCCTTAGTCTTCTAGAAACGGAGGGGGAAAAATCATCAAATGAAAATGCAGATTGCTTTTTTTACTTTGTCACATTAATACTTTACTTCCATTGTTTACTTATTTATTGATTTGGTCAGTTAATGATAAATTTCTAACAGTAAATTGTTGCAGGGACATAATCAAGTTCTGTAGGTATTTTGCGTAATTTTCTCATTTTGTCATTTCCAGATAAACACTGGGGTTTATCTTTCATTGTGGGTTATATCTACTTGTGTATTCAATTACATAATCTCTTTAGAAAGGATATGGATATAAAGGAAGCATATTTCATCGCGTCATCAAAGATTTCATGATTCAAGGAGGAGACTTCACCAATGGAGATGGCACTGGCGGTAACGTTGCCTTTTGCGTTTTTCCTTTCCTGCTTAACCAACCGAGACCTAAAATTAAGCTGGTATATTCACCCAGTACATTGAGTTTTGGGTTTAAAGAACAGAGTCATAATTCTTTCTGAAGGATAGAGTTTGGGGGGCCACGTCTTGGTAGATATGAATGAGTAAGGCTTCCTAATTTTAGACAGTATTACTTTGGTGTTCATTATCTTTCCATCGTGGAAATATATTCATTTAGTAGGCTACTTTGCAGTAATTAAAATGCTAGACTCCTAGCATGTAGCGGTACAGAAAGATGTCTGCCACAGGAACGAGTGGCAGAGTGCAGCACTGAGTGTTCCTGGGGGCGGCAGATGGCATCCAACTTGGGGTGTCGGTGGGGGGGATGGGGGTGTGGATAGTGATGAGACGGGTGGTTCGGTGGCAGGGTTACAGATGAGTTTATCCCCTTCTCTCAAAGTTCTTTCATTTTATTGTCAGCTTTTGAAATACTAAAAAATTAATAGATGAGCTGTCAAAATTAGGATTTAAATTAATTTTTATAAACAAACTTAGAGTTCTATAAAGTACAAATAATTAAATTCATAGAGTTTCAAATCTCCCTGAGCTTATTGTTCTTATTGAGGTTTCCAGCTACCCAGCCCCCTGGGCTATTTTCCCTCAAAGGCAGTGAGTTGTTTTCCTGACCATACCCGGTATATGTAACTACATAGAATTTAAATTTACTTGAGGTTTAAGGTTTTTAATTTAGCAAATTCCACTTTTGGTGAATATTAACCTGCTAACATTTTAAAGAAACCTAGGTCATTTTCCAGCACTATTGCCAATTTCATGTTTATTACAATGGTCTATTTATAACAAAATGACTGTTATTAAATGATTGGATTTGCCAGGCGCTTCGGGAAGGTTACTTTTAGTCCTTGCAAAAATGCTGCAAGGTGTGGGGATGAAGCGTGGAGCAGGCTGCGTGGGTAAATGGCGTCGGTGAGGATGCACTGGGAAGCAATCCCAGCTGCTGCGGGGCTGGGTCTCACTGGAAAAGCCTGCAGCTCGAGGACTGGTCCCCTCAGGACGGGCATCCCGCTGTCCTGCCGTGGGGCCCAGCAGGAATGGTGACTGGGTTTTACTGTGTCTCCTCTTCTACATTCTCTCTCTCTCTCTCTCTGCCTTATCTGCCCACAGAGTGTGGGTGCATGTGCATGTGCATGTGCACAAGTGTGTGCACACATGTCTTGAGTTAAAATTCTCTGAGTTTTGGAGAGAGGACCTGTGCATCACGTAATTTAGCTTAGATCCCTCTGTGGGCAGAGCTTTCCTGCCAGGTCGTCTCATATGTCACTGACCAACCAGCTAGCAATGTATCGTTTGCCTCTGATATCCACTTCCGGTCCTTCTAACTGAGCCAGGATTTTAAAGTTGGCAATGGGTGGATAAGGAGGCCTGTAGAAGGGGAGGAGCTGAGCATGACAGGCACTCAAGGTGTTGGAGGATGGAGCAGGTGCTTCTCATGGTCTCTGCTGTTGTTTTATCAGGAAAAGGTGTTCTGCTCTACCCGCTGCTTTGCTAGAACTCCAGCCCACAAACCTGCTTTTGGTTCTTCTGTTCAAGGCTGGACCACTGGGTGTTCCCGGTTGCCATCACCCTCTGTATTTTGATGAGCCCCGATGTCATCGTGCCTAATGACTTCCAGGCTGGCTGCTATTGCCCTTGGTGCTGAGGCAGGGAAGCGTGCCTGCTTTGGAGTCAGAAAGCCAGAGGGTCAAGTTCTGTTCTGCTGTTTTTAAGTTTTGCAACCTCTGTTTCTCATTGCAAACAGGATTGAGAATACCTGTTCTATAGAGTTATTCTGAGAATTGGCTAAGGGTATATATTAAAATTTTTGTGTTCCCTGGTTGGATGCTGAGGTAGGAGTGACCCAGGACAAGTGGCCTGAACCTCAGGACAGAGATTGAGCCACATGGCTGGCTCACTCCCTTTCGATCTGGTTTTTCAATGACATCGTGCCCTTCAGTTCCTTCTCATTTCACAGTGAAATCACAGGTCAAAGCTTGGCCCTTGGTTTGAGGCCAGAGGGTACCCCGCCATCCTGTGTGAAATTTAAGGCTTTTGTTTGTATGTGTTTGTTTCAGTCCCTGGTGCCCTGCTTCCTTAAGGAGTTCATTCTATGCCCTCCTTCACTTCTCCTTATGTTTTACCATCTTTTCCCCATTCCCCACTCTTATCAGGGTCTATTTACCAGTTCTACTAAAACTCTATGTTTCCCTTTGAAGATTTTACTTTCATATGACATCTGTTGATTCCCCTCTTTCTTGTTCTGTCTCACCAGGTGTAAGCATTTACGGTGAGACCTTTCCAGACGAGAACTTCAAACTGAAGCATTATGGCATTGGGTGGGTCAGCATGGCCAACGCTGGGCCTGACACCAATGGCTCTCAGTTCTTTATCACCTTGACCAAACCCTCCTGGTTGGATGGCAAACATGTGGTATTTGGAAAAGTCCTCGATGGAATGGTAACTTGATATATTATTTTTCTCATTCAAAGCTTTATATTTATAATGAGAGTACTTTCAGTGATTTATTTTGATCTTAAGATGTGCTTTGTAGAGATCCATCATTATTTGCTGACTGGCCTCTTCAAAGGTGAATAAATTATAAATGATATGGCATTTTAATTGTCAGGAGCATTGGGGCAGAAGCTGAGGACTTGACATGGAGAAGTTGAGTACTTAAGTTATCTCACTACTTGTTACAAATGGAAACTCTTTTTAATGTAACCAGATAAAACCAGGGCCCTGTGTGTGCATACAATGGAATATTGTCCAGCCGTAAAAAGGAAGGAAATCCTGTCACAGGCTACGGCATGGATGAAACTTGAGAATGTTATGTTAAATGAAATAAGGCAGTCATAAAAACACTGTATGATTCCATTTACATGAGGTATCTAAAGAAGTCAAACATATAGAAACATGAAGTAGAATAGTGGTTGCCAGGGATTTGAGGGGGAGAAAATGGGGAGTTAGTGCTCAATGGGTATTGAGTTTCAGTTTTGCCGTAGCCTCTAACAGGATTTCCAAAATGAAGAGTCCTGCAGATAAGTTGCACTACAATGTGAATATGTTTAACACTACCAAACTGTACTTTTAGAAATGGATAAGATGGTGAATATTATGTATTTCTTACCACAATTAAAAATAAAATATAAAAATACCTAGTACCCCATGTGGTTCAGTCTAGACACAAGTCACCTTTCAAGACACAGTATAGCACCCAAAATTACTAAAAAGAATTCAAATTGATGCTGTTTGACTCAAAAAAAAAAAAAAAATCAAGGTGTCCAGTTGATAACCATAGGAACACTTAAAATCCCCATTCTTTTCCACTTTCAATATTTCCCCTTCTTAGCTCTCTCAACTTCTGAACTAGCAATTGTAAGGTCTGTTCAACCCAACCCTGGGCCATCCTTATCTTCTTCCATTTCATTTTGTTTTGTTTTTTTGTGAGTTGTTCTGCCCTCCCTCAGCCAAATGTAAATAACCCAGTCTCACTCACTGCAATTCTTCCACAACTTCCACCTGCTGTTCTGATTCTACGCAACAGAAGGCCAGGAACTGAGCTGGCCAACTCAGAATCTCCCATACAAGGCTAGGAAATGCACAACCTGAAGCGTCGAAGATAAAATTCTCATTGGCAAGTGGGATGAGAGGGAAATAGGGCAAATACATATCATTTAATACAGCATTTCACATCCTATCACAGTAAAGGTCATGCCTATATCCTTACGAGCCATAATTGCCCTCCCAAAAAAATCTATTCAGAAATGAGAATGAATGCCAGCCCTCCTCAGGCGTCTTATTGAACCTTGCCTTTGAAATGAGCTAAACATGGGCCTGCATGTGTTAAACTGTCTGGGCTTTTGATCACTGGGATCTAACCAGGTTCTAAATACTTTAAATATAAACTGGTTCATTCATCCATTCACTGAGTATTTTTTAGTGCAACATTGTCCTAAGTTGTAAGAAAACTGGAGTACAAGTTTTGGGTGTTCTTCTGCTTGTGGTTTTTCTTCTAGCTCTCTAAGTCTTATGTCTTATGGCTCAAAATGCAGCAGCAAAGTCCTTCCATCCACTGGTGTACACCCTGAGAGACCTGCTACCTGGTCTTAGAGGAACTGTCCTTGACATTTTATGGGTTATAAACTTTGAGAAACTAACAAAAACTATAGACTTTCTTTCCAGAAAAAAAAAGTGTGTGCATATTTCATACAGTTTAAAGAAATCTAGAGAATCTCCTGAATTCCATCCTTTGATTTTCCAGAGATCTTCTGGGTTCTTGTTAACAAAGCAACTCCGATGATCTCTGGACCTCCACTCAGACTGACAGAAGCAGAATCTCCAGAGATGGGCCAACAAATAAGCAGTTTTAAATTGTGGAAAAATATACATAACATAGGTATTTCCATTTGAACCATTAAATAAGCATTTAAAAAAAAAATACTGCCACAGGTCATTCAGATGTGTAGTCACTACTTTAGGTACACATGTGTGCACACACAGTCTACTTAGAAATATATATTATTAGAAGAATGCTGGCCTTTTATCTTAAATGGATCTAAGCCCAGAGGTTGGAATATTTGACTCCGGGTCCACTCAGATACTCTTTTGCTACTTTAGTCTCAACTCTGTTTGGGAAACACCAGGAGCCAACCTTCTGGTCCCTGGCCAGTCCTCCCTCCTTCAGTGTGACATGAGGTGGTCCACGGGCCTGTGAAATCCTCCATGACAGAGAGAGAGGCCTGTACACCATGGTGCGGTTGGGGTTTCATTAGTGTTTGACTCAACCTATAGATTAATGGCTTGGGTCAGTTGTAAAAAGGGTAAACGCAGAACTAGCTCCACTTCTAAATCTGCTTTCTGGCTTGTTTTATGATGCCCAGACCTATTACAGGTGGAGTTGAAATGAACTCAAACTCTATGTTAACTGTTACATTGGGTTGTAACAAGTGAGTGGGAATATGTTTTATTAGAGGTAGGTATTTACAAAAATATCTTTCTTTTTTAAGAAAATAAAATGCTAATTAAAAGAAGTGAGGAAATACATAAATTTGTTCTCTAGCAAGGGAGTAAGTAAATTTTATGCTATTATATATAAATTTCCTGAATATTCTAAGTTTTCCATCGTTAGCTTGCATGGTTTTGTAATCATAACCATACACACAACCAAAAATCAAAAAGAACACGACTTACTTCCCACTTGGGCTTTCAGAGTCAGTGCTGATTTCATTTTTCAATTGCTATACTTGCTGGTCGGAAGTGAATCACGGGCCTCCTCTCCTCTCACCAGACAGTGGTCCACTCCATAGAACTTCAGGCAACTGATGGGCACGACCGTCCACTCACCGACTGTTCCATCATCAACAGCGGCAAGATAGACGTGAAAACGCCCTTTGTGGTTGAGGTCCCCGACTGGTGACGCAAGCAGCAGCAAACAAGGAAAATACTCGACGTGTGTGTGTGTGTGTGTGTGTGTGTGTGTGTGTGTGTGTGTGTGGTCTGATTCTTCAAAGTTACTGTTTTGCATTGTCTTTTTACTTTCTTCTATTTTCCACTCCAGATCACAGGAGAGTTTCAGCCAAAGTTTACTTTGCATGACTTTTGGTAAATCACATGTTTAGTGGCTTTGTCCTTAAAAGACATAGGTCCTTCCTTCAGCGGTGCTGTTTTTAAACGAGAAAACTTTGTGTCAGCTATTTTCTTTTGAAGAACACCATCATTATTTCTTGAATTAATTGTGATCCCCAAGCTAAGTGATCCTGAACTCGTTAGGAAAATATGGAGACATGAAGTTTATTATTTTGTATTTAAACAGAACTTCTCTTTAGGTAAAGGGAGATTTGATTAGTATAATCTGATCTATGTCGTAGGGACCTTTGCCTGATGAAAGGTGCTTTGATGTTCTCTATATTAAATACTTTTTATATAAACTAAGTCTTTTTGCAAGACTTTTTTAAATTTAAAATTCTTTTAAAAATTAACATACAAAAATATACACACTCTAATGTTAAGAATAAACAGCTTAGAGAGGGTTCTAAATCAAAGTAACTAACACAGCTGGATAATTTGGGATGGGAATGCCCAGAAGGGAGGCCCATCCACATTCCAAATACTGGAGCTGACGATTCCCTAATTTTTACTAAATGCAACATTTTTAGAAAGTTCCCTTGAGTCCAGTGGCAACAAAAAGGAACCTTTTAAACATAAATCAGATGAGAAAGGAAAATCCTATTGGGCCTTGTTGTAACATACCCGGCTGTTGCAGTCTGTGCCCAATCTCTGTTCGGATGGGTGTGTTGTTCCATTAGAAGACAGCCTTGTTGCTTGTCCTCCAGGTCCCTTGCAGTGAGGGTTCAACAAAATTCCATCTCTTGAGCTGTATTCTAAGAAAATCGCTTCAATGAGAAATCAGATGAAATGAGCATTCTTATTGCTGACGGGGGTATTAATCCTTTCAGCCCTCTTGGAGAGCAATTTGTTAGTTTTTCCTCCCCAACAAAAATGTATTAAAGGCCTTTGATATGCCACATACCAGTTTTGAGTTTTGCGGACATAGGAATAGACAGTGAGAAAAGGGCCTCATGGTGTGAATGGAGTAAATGAAAAGCGTGATGAGCACTGTGAACACAATACAGCCATGCTTGCTGGAGAAGCAAGGAGGGGAGACTGTCCCAGTGGCCAAGGAAGGCCTCCTGAGGGGACACTCGAGCTGCGGTCTGAGAAGAAACAGTAGGCGGCGGTCAGATGAGATGTGCCAGGCGGGCCTGTTGGCAGAGAGGGAAGGGAGAGTTTGAGGGTCCCAAGGTGAGAGAGAGTGGGCTCTGGGGCAGAGGAGAAAGCCAGTGTGCTGGGTCCTCAGAGGTCAGACAAGTCAGGCCGAGACTGGATCTCGCCGGGCCTAGGGTGCCAGGATAGAGGTCTTTTATTCATAGAGCAATGGGGAGCTATCAGTTTTAAGCTGGGGAGGGGCATGATGTGGTCTGTATTTGAGGAAGATTTTTTTTTAATCCTTATCTGAGGATATATTCATTGATTTTGGGAGGGGAGGAGAGGGAAGGAGACATTATTGAGAGAGAGAAACATCGATTGGTTGCCTCCTACTAGCGCCCCAACTGGGGGTTGAACCTGCAACCAAGGTACATGCCCTGACCAGGTATCAAACCCACAACCTAGGTATGTACCCTGACCAGGAATCAAACCTTCAAACTTCTGGTGTACAAGACAATGCCACAACCAACTGAGCCACCCAGGCGGGGTGAGAAAGATATTTTTAAAGGGAGCTAAAGTGCGTATCATGATACTCAAAACATCCATATCCTTCGAAGTCCCAATCCTGGGAACTTGCTTTAGGAAAATGATCTGAAATTGTAACGGGTGTCATTGTTTTGGTCAGTGCCGTGTTCTGGGGACCCCTAGTCTCTTTGGGAAATCACACCGTTCACCCAAGCATTTATTGTCCTTAGCGTAGGCTGACCCTCCAGATGAGTAGGTACCTGGCCTGGCTAACTCGTTCATTAACTCAATTGATATTTGTTGAGTGCTGGATAGAGCTGCATTGTCAGCCCTCATAGTTCCCATGGAAGGAGATAAATAATTCACACACACTCGTATACCACATGAAAATAGAGCAGAGCATCAGGGGGTAATAAGTCTCAAGAGAAACGGAGTGGGGAGAGAGGATAGAGTGTAAAGAGGGGATCAGGAAAGTACGTGAGTGTGGACTGAAGGAAGTGAGTGGGTAACAAGCTATGGGGACACTGGGGAAAGAGTGTACATGGCAGAGGGGACCAAGAGCAGTGGCTCTGGGCGAAGGGCAGCCTGGTGGGTTCAAGGGACAGCAGAGTCCAGGTGTGCAGTGCCAGGGTGAAGGGGAACAAGGCGGGGGGGAGCAGGGTGTCCTGCCGGCCATCCCCGCACCATGGGGTGAGTGTTTGACCCCAGTCGTGCTAGTGAGCCTCAGTCGTGGACTTCTGCTTGAAATACCAGCAAAGAGCTGCTGTTTTTCTTCTGTGAGAAGGTAAAGGAGCAGGCCTGAGAACCAAATCAGCACAGAAGGAAGCTGGTTCCGGGGGACAGAAAGATGGATGCCCGAAGACACCACTGAGTCCAGCACCGCCTCAAGCCAATCTCCACCCCTGGTTTATTAGCTATGCAAGCCAATACATTTCCTTTTTTGCTTAAGCCAGGGTGAATTATTTTTTGTGATTTGCAGCCTGAAGTCTTTGTCTAATACAGCAATATTGAAAAAGTTTTATGTACAAAGATGTGAATTGCAGAATTATTTATGATAGCAAAATACTGGAAGCAACTTGAATGTCCCAAAACGGTTATAAAACATACATTCCATAACAGAATAGTATGCATTCATTAAGACCGATGCTACAGAACTTAGGAGTAACATGAGAAGATGGATTTCTTTTTTAAAAAAGTAGAAATTCTGTATGCAGCATGATCTCAATTATGTACATACTCATAAAGCAAATGCAGCAAAATGTAAATTGACCTAAAGCAAATACAAATGGTGGGATTTTTAAAATCTCTTACATTTATATTTTTTACTTTTTCCCAGTCTCCCAATTTTTCTCCAACATGAATTTATTTTTAATAATTACAAAAATGAAACATTTAAAAAGTATAAGGTAATATGCAAAGTAATTGGAAACAAATGACCTCTTAGATATAAAAAGTGTCTTAAATCTCAAATGTTAGAGATCACATGAGCTACTGCTACCCACCATGCATAAGGACTTGATACCATATCTGCCATCTAGTTTTTTTCATTCATATAGGCATACTGACATCTCTCCAGGGACAAAGCAGGAAGTGGTTCATTTTCAAAGTGCTGAAATTCTTAGACCACTAGCGCATAGCTAGTGAATTGTCAGGCCGTCTGGTATACCAGATAACCAATAAGCTAATGCCACACGCCCTGCTAAAAGCAGTTTATTTCTTGTACCCTTAAGGTCAGCCCATATACCAAAAACACCAGCAAAAAAATGACTACAACTTATTGCTTTACAAAAAGAAAATCTATGTGTTCTGCAAAAGCTTCAGAAATTAGCAGTGCACCATTTTGCCAAGTGCGCTGCTAGAAAGATATGCACGGAGCCAAGGGCGCGCGTGGAATCTGAGGGAAAATACTCTGGCCACCACCGCCACCATGCCCGGGGTATCACAATTTAGTCTCAAGTCACTTTAATAAACAATTCAAAACATTTTGGTATCCTTAGCCTTAAGTTGTTTTATTCTAAATGTTACTAAGCAATTTTCTGGATCACTGGATAAGAATTTAGTAAAATTTATTCTTGGGTTAGATTAATTAGAATGATACTTTCAGAATTATTGTACACTCCATTTCTGATGAAGTCTTAGGTTTTGAACGGAACTCACCAGCCTCATTTTTTAGTTCAGCCGTTTTGAGTTACATAAAGACAAAAACATGGCAAAGACTTTATAGCAGGAAAAGAATTTGTTTTTGTTTTTCAACATTCCTATAATTCAGACAGCTGAAGAAATCTTTGATCTGGAAGTCTTAGAAATTCAAAGCCCCCTCAAGGCACTTTTATTTTTAATTAAAAGAGAGTAAAAACAACAGTATTTGTAATGGAAAATTTTATTGCTGTTAAGTATTGTGCATAGAGGCTTTTACTTAAGAATGTAATTCATCTTGTGAATTTAAGATTTTGGCCAAGTGTTAAGTCTTCGCTGTGATATAACATAACCCACTCAGGGATTTGCTAGTATCACTAATATTCTAGAGCAATGGAAAAAACAATGGGCAATAATGCAGAATTGCAGCGACTAGTTTAGGAGTCCTGTGTGGAAAAAAAAAAAAAGGCCCATCTGACAAATATTGAGAATCGCAACAAAATATATTACAAAATCCACAGAGTTTTAATCCCATCACTAGTCCCATCAGAATGCTCAGGGCCACAAATTCAGAGGGTTTGAGGAGGACTCAACATGCTCACATCCCTTCTGCTGCCCACTTCTGAAGTTTTATTAGGAGCCATTTAAGTGTTCGCACCTGCTCATTTTTTAGAGGGTGTGAAGGACTCCCTTCCTGAAGCACACTAGGCTTTTAAACTGCTATTAAAACTATGGTCACCATCCATCCTCGGGGCTAAATATCATGTCCTCTCATTTGGACAGCTATCTCAAGTGGAAAACTTGAAACTTTTTTCTTCCAACCTGGACTTTAAAGACAGGTCTGCTTCCGGTGCCCCTTCTGGACTCCAGGACATGCACTGTGACAGGTTGTCATGAGCAGAGGAATAAGGCTGGGCAGCCAGAGCAGGAAACTCAAGGCTTGATTTAACTCCGTCATCCTGGAAGTACAGCTTTTTTATAGAGCCCTCAGAACTTTTGGTTTGGTCCCAAGCCTTGTACAAGCTGCTCTGTCTGCTTTGTACGCCTCCCCTACCCCTCCTGCTCCCAGCCCTCCTCAGGATCAGAATGTGGGACCTCTCAGCAAGCCTCCCTGGAAACCTCCTCACACCTTGTTTTAACTGCTACCTGGGGTCCCCCACCTCCTCCTTGGACAGCATGCTCCTGTAGGGCAAGGATTAGATCTTATTTCTAACCATACCCTAGATAGTGTTTCATGCATAATTACTGCTCAATAATTATATTTATGCTACTAGGTACTTAAAATCTCTCAGGACTATAAAGATTGTTAAATGCTGACATTCATCTTCCAACTGTTTCTACTCTTTCTCAAACTGTTACCTTTCAAAACTAAATTTTTCCTCTTTATTTTCTTAGTTGGGATCTGAAGAACATGACAGAAGTAGGTTGGCAAAATGCGGTGGGTGGCAAGCAGGAAGAGGAAAGGCCCAGGCGGCGGTGGCCTTAAGTGGCCGCATTTGTGGTGAATGGCAGTGTGGGCCTCGGCATCGTGCCTCGGTTGTGAGTGTGGCATGCTGCTGACCGTTGGCAGAGGTTCAGCCCTGAGAGGTGACGAGACGCCACCCTCTAGTCTTAGGTACTGTGAAAGTCATGGTGACCACTTTGGAAACCCTTACATTTGAATTCTCATTTGTGGGGTGACTTACAT